CAGTGCAGTTTTTTTAATAGAGAGCGGATGAGAGGAGGAGCTGCGTCCGACGGGTCGGACGTCTGGTAAGTTGCATTTTCGAAAACCAAAAGGAAACGAAAAATAAACAGAAAAAGGTAAAAAAGGGAGCTAACGGAAAAAAAGCTCTTCGTAGTATATTATTAGGGTACTTTTATCCTTTTTATTTGAATTAGGATTTGGATTAGAATTCCTATTCAACTTACTCATGATCGGAGTGATAAATAGTAGAGCTGTAGATACACAAACAAGGACAGTTTCCACATTCACAGAGTTAGTTAAGGGGAGGTGGACGAAAACAAACGGACTGAAATTTTAGCTCTTTAATTTTACCAGCAAAAATGACCGTCCGTCACAACATGACGCATAATTTATTTTATGATACTCGTACCAATAGTAATAAACTACCTTATTTTTATTGAATTAATAATTAGGCTTGATCCAACCTTAAGTAAATCAAATAAATTCTAAAGCCTGCTGTCCTCAGATTGCACCTTTGGTTGGTGGAGATGCAAGGAGAAGAGGGGTGAGTCAATCACTCAAATTATGGAAACTCGGCCCATCCCATTTGACTCCCAACCAAATAACCCTAGATTAAAGGTTGTCCTGTCCTATCCTCGTCATCCTCCAATCCAAACACACAGTTAGTTGCTAGAGCTTTAGTAGAAACTAGGTAAATTCCTCGGGCGTTGCTGTGGGAACTGTATAGACAACATTGAGAATATTGGATAAAGAAAATATGAGAAATCACAGAACATATTATAAAAACCGTGAAAAAGGCCTTTTGTGGTATTCATTCACACGAAGGGATGGTATTTACCTCTTGAACAAAGGAGAGTGAATATTGGCTATCACAGAGCAATGACCAGTTTTGTGCTCTCCAAATCATGACATAATTCTTCAGAAAAGAAAATATGAATGCATACAGCATTTTAGGTAATGAATGCATAAAACTTAGGATGGCCCAATGCTGTCTTTGTGGCGGCCATTGGAGAAGATGAGAAATTGAGGAGGCCCGATGGCAATTCTTATGCTGGAGGCCTCTCAAAAAGAACCTCTAGAGGCGGCAGCTTGATGACTGACCTAGAGCAGCAGGTGTAAGTAGAATCCACCATCGCAACAACAACAACAACAGGAGGAACGGCCGGGTGAGGCACTCCAAAACTGGGGACGACCGAGCTGTATATATGCTGGGAATGTTGGAGAGGAATTGGAAGGGCAACAACGCCATTAAAAGGACTCTTAACTTCTGAGTAATGGCTGCTGTTTTGGCAACAATCAATGGAGCCAAGGTGGGTGCTTGTTTGTAGCTGCTGCATGCAGCCATTTCCTTGGGTGCTCTGGTAATAGACGTCGGAAGGAAGACAGAGGGGAGAACAATGAATGTGGCTAGGAAACTGACGTGAGTTGCTCAACATTTAGGAAATTAATTCGCATTCTCCGTGCACAGGAGGAGGCCACCACAGTAGCGCAGGAGGAGAACATGTGTGGCTCGAAGGAAGTGGATGACGTGGCTTAAGGACATGCTAGAGAAATAAGCCAGTAGGTTTTTGCTTTATAAGAATATAGGGGAAATTAATTCGCATTCTTTGTGCGCAGGAGGAGAAAATGCGTGGCTCGAAGGAAGTAGATGACGTAGCTTAAGGAGATGTTAGAGATATAAGCCAGTGGAGTTTTACTTTATAAGAGTATAGGATATCAATCTACTCACATCAGCAAATAAGGAATCGACGTGCTTTCTAGACAGCTAACAACAAAGTATCTTGTATCTTACAGGGCCGAACATGCAAATTTAGAATATTTATGGGAATATAGCCATTGGGCATTAACATATCACAACATTAGGACAAATACTGATTTGTCAATGTTCACAACTGAACATTAGATTAGAACAAAAGCTTGCATGGTTAATTTTTTTGTGATCCGTGTATAAAGTAGTAAACTTATCTGGAAGAGCGGTCCATGGGAAGCAGATCCATATTTCTCATTGATAGCCAACTGTAGTTTAGGTTTGAATGAAATTCGCAACTGCAAGTTGATTAAATATGTTAAATGTGAACATGTATTACAACAACAATTTTTTTGAAAAAAAAATAACTGCTAGACAAATTACCCTAAGACTGGATATGTATTATTTTAATCGTGGCCATAGATCTTAAGATGGACGGCTAAGGATGCCTTTTATTTATATCTGTATTTAGATGGTATATGTGGAGATTTATTTTTCTAAAGTAAAATGGCCATATTTAGACGTGATGTAAGGTGATGTCATCAAGCTAATAAGGAGCAAGGCACGCACCGGCTTGGCATGGCACCGACATGCAACTGTGCAAGGCGAAGGCGAGGTGGCTCTGATTCATGTACCGGCTTTAGGCGAGGTGGCTCTGATTCATGTATACCGACTTGGCACGGCACAAGCACCGAGCCCGTACGTGATTTTTTTCAATTAAATAAACGGCAAAGTGGCCAACACCGTACGTGATTCTATTCATGGCCTCTTTGCGTGGCTTATGTCGGCTTCAGCTTCATCTATTTTGCGTAAATCGAGGCACTGTAGTGTGAAGTCATTTTGTAAACCGGGGTTAAAATGAACTAGAAGTCGGAAAAAGCTAGTTTTTCTGGCTTCAACGGCTTTAGCTTCACTGGTGAAGCCGTTTTAGATGAGCCGTGCCAAAGGGGCTTTAGTTGTGACCGTTTCCTTAGAGGAAGGTTTTGTTGCATTCGACGCCAACTCCACAGACGTGGTGTCGGACTCAGCAGGCGGGGCGAGCGAGATAACTCTTCATACTGTATGTGTATATGTGTAAACGTAAATAGTAGATAGAAGTTTTTTTTATATTTGGATTATGACTCCTATTCACGTTAGTCTGGATGGGAGGAATTAGATTAGGATCCTAGTTAAGTTTTTTTTCTATTTGGATTAGGACTCCTATTCACGTTAGTCAGGATGGGAGGAATTAGATTATGATTCCTAGTTATCTCAAAACGCCCTACATATGCTATATATAAAACAGAGTTGTAGAGAGACGAATAAAGATAGTTTCCATATTCACGGAATTGGTTAGGGAAAGACGGAAAAAAAAAGGATGGACAAAAAAATGACCGGAGATTTTGCCTCTTTATTATTAAGACGGACAAAAAAAATAGATGGACAACAAAAATGACCTGAAATTTTGCCTTTTTATTATTAGGTATAGATATAGATATAGATATAGATTTGGTATAGATTTTGTTATCCAAAACGAAGAATCTAGGGATTTCTATTTTTTTGTAAATTTTAGATAGATGCTAGAAACCAAACACATTATATTTTGCTTGTATTTGACATAACATCATTTATAATTCTGAGAATTCTTGAAATGTTGTATTTGAGTTTTCGGTTAAATTGTTTTATGCGTCTGCTATATAAGTGCATCGAGACTTCTCTACAATTGAGTGTGTTGATGGTCACTATTGCATAGATTCCACCATTGAATTGTTGAAATAAATGGGGATTACACCAAAACTTATGTACAATTTTATTTCAACCAATAAGGTTCCACATGTATGTGGAGAGTATTTGTATGCAGCGATATACACAATGAAAATGAGCAGAAATGAGCACATAGGGGGTCGGCCAACCCAACCTTTGCATCGGGTGACCGTGCCCCGAGCCCAACCAGGCTCAATCTTAGTCCAGCACTAGAAAACACACTCATGAGCTATCATATGTGTTCGATCAACTTCGATTCATTTCCGAAGACCGAGATGATCGTCACTTGGATCCATGGACCCACGTCCGCATGTCAAAGAAACACTGACTTGTCCAAGCAACACCCACGAGATCATCCAAGGCGTCCCCAACTCTGCACACATAAAGATGGATGGCCAGGGAAGCACACATAAAGATGGATGACCATGCAAAGGGTAAACCGACCCTACCTTGGTGCTCAATCCACCGTCACCGAACTCCTACTTCCCTTTTTACCAGTAACCTCTATTAGACCTTTGGTTGTTAACTGAGATACATTTAAGAATCATATTCATTAAAGTCTTGACCATAGTATTCTCGAGGATAAAAATATGACACTGCTGAATCTTCTCCACGTGGGCATAAGAACTATCAACAAATTGCATCGTGTCTTGGACTGACTGTCCTGCAGAGGAACCTCTACCGCACAGATGTGTGCATTGCTGTGCGCGAGTTCAATTGGCAGTACACAAAAGGCAGGCCTGAAAACTGCAAAGATATCATGTGACCTGATTTTTTTGGATATTATGTGGTCAAAACTCAAAACAAAGCTGAATTCCGTGTTTCTGGATATTATGTTTCCACCTTTTCTTTTGGTCGGTAGGTAACCACAACATTGCCGGCCCTACTGACCTATGGCTCTCAAAAAGAAGTTGGTTTCCTTGAGCAAAAATGCAGCAGCCAGTACCACACGGCCCACGGGTGATAGTTTGGTATACGAAGACAAAGCTGTTGGTTGCTTTATGATGTCTTTCAGTCCAATTTCGCCTCAGTGCCCTGTTCGCCTGATAAGCCATGATTAAAAGTACTGTTAGCTGATTTGTTGTGAAAGAAAAATACCATTCATTGACTAAAAATTTATGGCTTATAAACTAAGCGAACAAGGCGCGTAGATCTTTTCCCCTGCTTGCTCTGTGGCGTCACAAGCTGGTGGCTGTCCTCCGTGCTCGAGCTACGCGGATCGAGCGAGCGTCTCCAGATTCCAAATGAGGCAGGCGATTTTTCACCGTATTTCGCCCAAAAACCGTGCTCCTTACACTTGCAGGGTAACTGCGACTCCACGTAACAAAATGGTTTTGAATTTCCAATGGCTCTCCTGAGCTTTCTGTCTGAACCCACGTGGCCACACCCTACCCATGCATAAGCATAACAGAACGTTTCAACCAAGAGGGACCAGCAGAGATAAGGTGCCCCGGGCGTAAACACAGTGGTTCTTCCGCTCCCAGCCTCTAGTTCTTCCTCCTCCAGAGTGATGGCCAAATGCTACTCAGATTGGCCCCCGATTCCGCCTCTCCATCCGTCGCGAAGAACGCCGCCGCAATCCCACGCCTCCCCGTGCACGATCAGGCGGTCCTTCGTGCTCCACTGCTCCAGGTCCTGTGCTCCTCTCCTCGAGCCCACCAAGAACCTGCCCGCCGATGAGTTCGAGGCCGTGCCGGCGACGCCGGTGTCGCCGCTGCCGGACGCCGCCCCGAAGCTGGGGATATCCAACAAGTTCATCCGAGGCCTCTGCGGCGACCCGCAGACCGAGCAGCTGGCCTTTGAGGGCTACAGGAGGGCGCTGCTGCAGCCGGAGTTCCGGCTGGAGAAGAAGACGGCCAACGCGCTGACCCTGCAGCTGCTCAGGGACAAGCAGTGGGGCTCGCTGGAGCTGCTGGTCGAGGACTTCAGGGCCTACGGCGTGCTCCCGGAGAAGCGGACGTGCGCGCGCCTCGTCGCCTGCTGCATCAAGGCGAGGAGGTTCGGCCTCGCCGACGCCGTGCTCGGAGCCGTCGAAGCCAAGAAGGGAGCCGCCGCTGCCATGGCCTTCAGCGCGGCCATGCAGGCGTACAACAGGCTGCACATGTACTCGAGCACGGTGCTGCTGTACGGGCGGGCGAGGGTGGCTCGCCTGCCGCTCAACGCCGACGCCTACCGCGCCGTGATGGCGGCGTGCGGCGCGCTGGGCGAGCCGGACATGGTGGCCTCGCTGTTGAAGCTGTACAGGTCCCACAAGTGGTACCCCTCCGACACCTGCGTGGAGACGTATGCCATCGTCTGCGACGCGCTGGGCAAGGCCGGCAGAGCCCTGGATGCTCTGCGGTGCCTGCGCGAGATGGTAGCGGATGGGCTCTCGCCCGACGCCGCCATCTACTCCTCCGTCATCGGCGCCTTGGCCGATGCTCGAGAAAAGGCGGCGTCGGAGGAACTTTACCACGAAGCGTGGCACAGCAAGATGCTCGGAGACCCCGACATGTTCTTGAAGCTGACCATCATGCACGCCGAGGCTGGTCTGGTTGAGTCGACAATAGAAGTCGCGAAGGACATGAGGCAGATCGGCCTGAGGGTCACGGACTGCATCCTCTGTACCATCATCAGTGGCTTCGTGAAGAGGAGAGGCCTGAAACCAGCCATCAGAGCATATGACAAGCTGGTCTCCATAGGGTGTGAGCCTGGCCAGGTCACCTACGCATCAGTCATCAACGTGTACTGCCGGCTTGGGCGCAGCGACAGAGCAGAGGCCGTCTTCTCAGAGATGATCGAGCGAGGCTTCGACAAGTGTGTGGTCGCCTATGGCAACATGATCTCGATGTATGGCAAGATCAGGAGAGCGTCGGAGGCCATGTGGCTGCTGGCCCTGATGAAGCAGAACGGGTGCGAGCCCAACGTCTTCGTGTACAACGCCCTGCTCGACATGCACGGCAGGCTGGGGAACTCGAAGCAGGCCGAGAAGATCTGGAAGGAGATGATGCGGCGCAAGGTCCGGCCTGACCGGATCAGCTACACGGCCATCATCCTCGCGAACAACCGGGCGGGGGAGCTGAACCGGTGCATGGAGCTGTACCACGAGTACAGGGAGACCGGAGGGAAGGTGGACAAGGTCATGGCTGGCCTCATGGTTGGGGTGCTCTCCAAGAGCAGCCGGTTCAACGAGCTCATCGAGCTGCTCAAGGACGTGAACGGGACAAAGCTGGACCGGAGGCTGTACATGAGCGTCCTGAGAAGCCTCCGGGATGCCGGGCTGGAGGTTCATGTCAAGTGGCTCCAGAGTAACTTCACCTTCATGAAGGAGAAAACTTGATGCCAGGTGCCAGGAGTTCTTGCTGTGCATATTCAGCACCCAAGTAATATCGGGCGCCTGAAAAAGTATTGCTCTGTAAATGGAAACATAAAAAAACCAAAGGTAAATATTTGCTTGCCTCAGTTCTCTCTTCCGAAGCTTGTATGCTACTGCTGCACATTTCCGACATTCAGTGGCTCAGGTGAATAGCGATGTAAATGTATTTTAAGGGATGACAACTTTGTACCAGTAATGATCTGATTCCGAAATTCTTGAACAGATTGCCTTGTTCAGTAGCTCTGCATGTCAGATTTACTGAAACTATTGTACCATAGCCACTTTGGGCAAATGTAACTTTGTATCTATAATGAAAAAAAATCATATTACTTTGGTACTGCTCCTATTTAAGTGTCGATACTCTATAGAACATTCACATGTTTTATCTCATGAATGTCATATCTACTACTCAGAGTAGTTCCTCTTCCTGCTGCTACTTGCCAGCAGCTTTCACTACCAAGAATAAGAAGCATCGCTTCTCTGTTCTCTCTGTCTAGCGATGATGAATGTTTCGACGAAACTGGAGGGACCAAAGCCCCTACAGGGATTTATTGAAAACCAAACTTACAAGTTACAAGTTTACTAAATTTCAAAAACAACAACAACACTTCAAGAGACCCAAAAAGAGAGGAAGAAAATACAAGTACAAAAGAGGACTATAACAGATTCTGGATCCATAGGTCAAAGAGAGCTGAGTGTTTAGCCTTTGCCCTCAGAGTGAGCAACTTCATCTCTTTTCTGAAGGTCTCTTTCACAGAATGCAAGTTGGTTTGAATGTTGCTGAAAATTAGATCATTCCTCGCATTCTAAATGGTCCAAGACAACAGGATTGCCACCATCATAAAGAACTTTGGGTGGGACTGATTTCTGATAGCTTGCAAAGCTTCTGGAAAAGGTATGTCTTCTTCTAGAGTTATATGGACCAAATTCCAACAACTTTTGGCGAAAGAGAAGGTGATGAACAAGTGGTGAGCAGTCCCAAATCCACTTGAACTCTTGATGAACTTGTTCATGTCCAATTAAGTCCAATCAAACTCAAGTAGGCCCTAGCAGCTGAGAAATTCCTGAATGGTGTATGATTATGGAGAACAAGAACCCAACCATAAAAAATAATCCTAAATTCTAGTAGCAGCTGCTAGTAAGTGGTAATCCAAGAGCCGGTAAGGCGGTGATCGGGACTCCGGCAGGCGGCAGCACTTTGCCCTGCTCCAACCAACATTTATCTTCATGTCTCAGTTGCCTTGGCTGAGCAGATTGCCGAAGAACTCCTAGCGCTTGTCAAAAAACATGGCCGATTCGTCAAAACTGTTAGTTGATCTCCACCAATAGGCCCAACGGCCTATTGGGCCCTTATCTCTGCTCCCTGATCGGGGGAGCCCAACCCTAATCCGGTTGGTGGGTCCCTGTCGCACAGCACACATAAAAGGAAGGTGGGGTGAGGGCTCGGACAACGAGGTTCGCCGTGAGCCGCCATCCCACCTACAGTAACCCTAATCCGATCTAAAGGACGTGCTGCCAGCGACGGGATGAGCCCCAACCACCGCCGTCGACCCACCTGCAGAGGTCACCACGGACATTGTCTCTCCACCAGCGCATCTGGACTTCACCGCCGCCATCTGGCTGGGCGTCTTCTACAACTGCGGCACCGGCGTCTACCCGCCACGGTGCATCTCCAGAGAGAGAAGGCGAGAGTCTACCGGATCACGGGTCACAGAGGTACCAATCCTACGATCCTAACAATGGTACCAGAGCCGGTTGCCTTTGTGTAACCCTAACCCTAACCGGGTAAAAGCAAAGAAAAGGGACCGGGGGTGGCGGATGTCACTGGAACCCGGTCACCACCACCACCGCGCGGGTGAAGAAGAGCATTGCCGTCCTCACCGGCGCGCAACAAGAAAAGAACAGATCCTTATTCGGATCAGAGAATAGAAAGGGGAAAAGGATCTTAAGAATCCCAACCCTAACCCTAATCGGGTGAAACAACAGTGAACAGAAAGGGGAAAGGATCTCAAGAACCTAACCCTAACCCGCGCAAATAGCTCGGGGAAGAAGAAAAGAAAAGGTTTCGGCCTTAAGATGAACAGAGCCGAACCCTAAATCAAAGAAAAGAAAAAGAAATCAATTGAAAAGCGAAACCCTAACCCTAGAACGAATCCCCATCATTAATCGGTTCAATCCGAGAAGAAAGAAAGGAAAACAGAAAATAAAGAAGAAGAACAGGGGTCGGGGCCATAACCCTAACCCTAGATCTATTCGGATGAACTCCGGAAAAAGTAAGAAAGATCACAAAAGCAAATCAGAGAAAAGAAAAGAAGAATCCAAACCCAAATCACCGGCGAGGAGAAGAAGACCGAGCCGGGCGGGCATTCGTTCGGGCTCGGCAAAAGGGGTCTGCATGCCGGGCCGCTCGGCGGCGCGCGGCCCATTGGGGGGGAGCGCGCGACGCCGATGAGGGGGCGACGACGGCGGTGCCATGGACACGCTCGCTCGCTCTCGCTTTCGCTTCGGTTGTGCTCGGTGAGAAGAGATGAGGTAGAGAGAGAGAGAGCGGCGAAGAAGAAGAGAGAGAGAGAGAATGAAAATGACCTAGGGTTTTTTCCAGGTAGTGCAGCGTCGGGGTTTTATCAAAGCGAACGGCGGGCGACCGTCGGATGTGATCCGACGGCAATGACCGCGATTGGGCCAAACTCAGCCTAAGCGGTATGCGAAAGGCCAAGCCACTTTCAGCCCAGCCCAGGTTGCGGCACTGGTCTGGGGAAGGAAGGGGACTGTCTGCAGCGTCTTTGGAGTGGGCCGGGCCGCTTTAACGGCTGGGCCGAGTGAACATAATTGAAATGATTCAGTTTTTGTTTTTTCTTTTTCCAGCAAACATTTATTTCCTGGAAAATGAATAAATGGCTTAAAGAAAATAGAAAAGAGATTTGTCCTATGGGCAAAATTCATTAAATTGAATTATTTTCCGCTGCTAAAGAGAAAATATTTATTCTCCAGTTAATTTGTACCAACGTGGTATTTAATTGGAGAAAAAGAGATTTTTTCCGCTGCTAAAGAAAAAGTATATTCTCCAATAATTTTGAACAGACATGATATTTAATTGGAGAAAATAAAAGTTTTTCCAGTAAATCTTTATTTCCTAGAAATTGATTAATGGATTAAAGAAATTAGAAAAAGCAATTTTCCCTGTGGGTAAAATTCAAGGAAAAGAGAGTTTTTCCACAGCCAAAGAAAAGTTGTTGATTCTCCAGTTATTTTGAACCAATGTGGTATTTAATTGAAGAAAAAGAGTTTTGATATGATTATGATGTTGTTATTTTCTGACCAACGTTGTTAATAACAATATCATAATTATAATGATTTATGCATTAATTCTACTTCTGCCCAACGGTGATGTAGAATTAGTGTATAAGAAAAGTTGATAATTTTAATGATTTATGCATTAATTCTACTTCTGCCCAACGGTGATGTAAAATTAGTGTATGAGAACAGTTGTAAAAGTTAATGATTTATGCATTAATTCTATTTCTGCCCAACGGTGATATAGAATTAGTGTGTAAGAACAGATGTGAAAGTTAATGATTTATGCATTAATTCTATTTTTGTCCAACGGTGATGTAGAATTAGTGTATAAGAATAGTTGTATGTTTTGATTTTGACCAACGTTGGAATCAAGGCATGCAAATGGTGTTATTTTATGTTAAGAAAAGTTTTGACCTGATTTTCATCTTGACTAAGGTGGACTAGGTAGTCACCTCACCGTGTTCCACTGAGATTGTGGCACCGGTGAGGGAGACAAAAGTGAATGATGCCACTTGGGTAACTAAAGAAAGGGATTTTGAATTCCAAAAGATATCCTATGGCTTTTGAGCATAGGAAGTGGGTCACTGCAAACAAGAAATGTTTGGCGGTGATAAAGAACATGATTAAACCTGTAATTGTGGGCTCAATCCCAGAATGTGACACGGTCACCGAATACCTCGATAGAATAAAGAGTCAGTTCACTTGCTCTTCAAAGACATATGCCACTTAGCTGATAAAGCAGTTGGTCACAGAGTGTTACTCTGGAAATGGTGGCATAAGAGAGCTCACGATGCGTTATCAAAATTATGGCACTGTCGTTTATGCCATATTTCAAGGGGGAGAATAGAAAGACAAGTTAAGAATGATATTCTTCCTCTATTAGATCTCTCAGATTTAGAACAATGCAGAGAATGCATAAAAGGAAAGTATGTAAAGAAGATTAAGAAAGATGCCAAATGAAGTGCAGGAGTTTTATAGATTATTCACACAGACATCTGTGGTCAGTTTTTCTGTAAAGAGTGTGGATGGTAATGATTCGTTCATAACATTCACATATGAGTACTCCCATTATGGCTATATTTATCCAATCAAAGAAAGAAAATATGTATTGGATAAATTTAAGATATTAAAGATTAAGATAGTCAGGTCTGATCGTGAAGGAGTACTACGGTCAGCATACCCTAAAAGAATGGCATAGTAGCCCAGTATTCTATACCGGGCAAACCTCAGCAGAATAGAGTAGCTAAAAGAATCAATCGTACCCTGATGGATATGGTGGGCAGTATGATAAGTTACTCCACCTTACAGTTGAGCCTGTGAATAGAGGCGTTGAAAACGGCCATTCATATTCTCAATAAAGTATCAAGAAAGTCGGTGCCCAAAACACCGTATGAGTTGTGGACAGAAAGAGTACCCTCACTAAACACTTGAGTGTGTGGGGGAGCCCTGCTGAGGCTAAAGTATTTAACCCAAACATTGGAAAACTAGATCCCAAAATAGTAAGTTGTCATTTCATTGGCTACAAAGAAAAGTCAAAAGGTTTTCGTTTCTACTATCCACAGTGACATACAAAGTTTATGGAAACGAGACACGTTGTCTTCCTAGAGGACGAAAAGATGAGGCGGGCATGGTAGCTCGAGAAATTATCCTTGAAGTGAAGCGGATGT